CGCCTTGCACGTGCCCGATATTTGAAGATTGATAAAGGCGATTTCTTGGAGGAGTATCCAAAGGCCCATACTATGGCGTTCAAGGAAGCCAATATACGGAGTGCCTTTAAGGCTTCAGGCTTAGTTCCGTACGATCCAAGCCAGGTGCTTGACAAGCTGATTTATGAGGATTTTGATAGCCGGCCAAGCAGCCAAGACTCTCGGTCAACAATCTCAAAGACGCCTGTTAATACAAATCAGTTTAAGAAGCAAGAGGCAAGGCTTGAACAACTGCTTAGTGGTGTAGCTGATACACCAATGAAGTCAGCCTTGGACTACGTCTTCAAAGGCGCTGAGATGGCGTTAAACCGGGCGGTTTTGTTGGAACAGGAAGTTCGAGAACTCCGCTGGGCAAATGAGAGGTTAAACACCAAGAAACGACGAAGAAATAAGCAGCTTACAGGCCTTAACGGCTTCACTGTTGACGAAGCAAGGGAGGCATTCCAACGCGAGTATGAAAAGGATAAAGCCCTTCAGATTGAGGATCAGAATCAGCCTCGCCGCCGGGCACCTCCCAGGTGCAGCGAGTGCGGTGTTCAAGGACATATACGTACGAGGTGTCCAAATCGAAGAACTGTGTAAAAAGACGTTCAAAATGGTGTAATTGAGGCTTCAAAACACCATATATTTGTATACAAATCAAAAATCCATGTTGGTGCTGCATTTGGTGGATCTGCTGGCTCGCTCGCTTGCGTGGCTCGCTCGGTTGACGATTACGTTAAGCCAAGAGGGATGACTCAGCATGGTTACAAACAGGTCAAACACCATGGAGAGCGGCAAGTCGGCCCGATGAATGATCCGCGCACGCGCCTGAGGCCATTAGGAGCAGCGCGGACTTTTGCCTGTGGATGGCAGGACGCTTCGATCGCAGGCTCAGCTTGTCTCTACATTCACATAGCCCCCCTTGGGCTCCAGCATAGGAATTGATTCTCCGTCGTACGGCACACTATTCGCCGATACAATCCCATTTATTGCGCAGCAATATCTCCCAGATATTTCACCAGAACGTCTATTGCGAACGTCTTGTGTTGTTGTGCCGCCATCGCATCCTCTTCGGCTTCAAGCAGACTGTCTCCGTTAGCTTCATATCGCGTCCAAGCTTCCAGATCGTCGCCCGAACCGTTCGTCAATCCCAGCAAACCAACTTTGGGACAAATCTGGAGCGCGCCCGATCTCGCCACGCGATATTTTGAAGACGGTTCATACGATAGGGAATTATTACAGGGCGACCAGGAAAGGCACAGAAGGCCGCAGAAGGGCTCTAAAGGCACGGACGGTGTGCTTTCACACTCACCCACAACTCGCCTTTTGACCTGGAGGTTCTGCGCTTGAGCTTTAGCGGGGATCTCGACAGTATCCCGGCTCAATCGCGCCAACCTTGATCCTCAATTGGAGTCAGTCAAAGACAGCACGCGAAGGTTAAGACACAAACAAACGGATTGCGACCCCCCGGAAACACAGGTCAAAGGGCCCAGGCGTGCTGTAAAGCAAGCCCAAGATGTCCACTCAAACTCCCCGCACATCCCTTCGAGGCAAGTGCTTTCTTGACGAAGTCCTTCCATTTACGGTCGAGAAGCTCAGACTAACAAAGCACAGAGGGTTTGCGGCAGGCTCCTAAAGCAAATCAGCCCTTCATCCCCGACACTACCCCCGCTAGACGCTCACATGTAATCCACGCAAATCAGTCACCACAGCCCGTTCCTCTGACCTTGAGTCATTCCAACTCACCCGCACCGACTGTGAATAACGCCCCGCCCTCGAACGAGAACTGGGAAGGAAGGGATCAAAAGGTGCCTATGAACACACGCGAAGTTGCAACCCCAGGTAACAGACCAGGTCTGTTTCTCAGTATGCATGGCAAAACAGTCAAGCAACCCGACTTTTACGATCCTTACTTCCCCCTCAGATATCTAGAGGTCCCGAAGTGTAAGTGTTCATCGCTTGCAGCTGTTCGTCAGCTCATTTACGTCAACTAACTCGTCTGCTCAGCTGATCACATTTACAAGCGTGCGCATTATGGACTGCAATCAGGCGTTCCGGACGAAGTTGACTTTGCGCTATTTCATCTTGTTCAAATATCCAATCAGCGCTGGGACAAGTTCAAGTTCGAGGGCTTCCCATTGTTAGCGGAAACCTTGATGGAGAAGGCTCTAGATGTATCGCTTCTTGTCACAGGGGTCAAGTGGGAGCTCCAGTACGACTTCCGTGAGCCTATGGCCCGCGTCAATGTGCTCAATTCACTATATGGCACGCGCGATATACTCGAGAGAATCAAACATATCCCCGTTACATTACCGAAGGACACTCTGGAGACATATGAGTTCAACCATCGTCTACGAAACGTCAAAGAGGCAACTCTGGTACTCCGGAACATGGTACTACTCAAGGAAAATGCATTCTATGTCTCGCGTTATGCCAAAGGCCTTCTTAGAGACTTCCTGGTGATTCTGATCAACCTCCCAGACCAACCACGCCTCAACGAAATCAGAAATGATGCCTTGGATATCGCAGAGGAGGTGACAAAGTTCATGCGGACCGACCCGGAAGATCCACTTTGGATCTCTTTGCTCAAATGCCTAGAGTCTCCTGATCGTGCTCATGTAGTGCGGGCTCTGTGGGCATTGACGCACTTTTCAACTGAGATCGATGAACCAGAAGGCAACCGGGCCATGGAGCGCATGCCCAAACAAACCCTGCAGCAATTATACTTCCACACGCTTCTCGATTTGGATAAAGATATTTTGAGCGGTGCCTTGGACTTCTGGTATCAATACACCCTTTCAAGCGAGAATATCGAGACCATGCTCGATGTTTTCGATTTTCCCAGCATCTTCGTTCCGCGCATGATTGCACTGCTGACGTACGAGGCCCGAGCCACCAAGATGGAAACCGTTCTACAAGATGAGAAGGTTGCACCACCGCCATCTGAGATTCCCCGTGTACCGTCTGAGCTTCTGAAGGATCTGATGGAATTATCAGAGCCTGAGCGTAGCTCACGCTGGCTGAGGTGCTGCTTCGTGGAGGATCCGGAATGCGAGATCACACAGATCGCCCTCTGGCAGGCTTACCAGAGCCGATTCGCTGATCCTCGCGTACCGGGAGGTGGTGTTCTCCCTGCCGCCGAGTTCATCAAGAATGTGAGCACGACTTTCACGAACGCTCAAGCACAGGTCATTAATGGCCCCGGCTCCTCCACTCGATTTATCATTAAGGGCATCCGCCCTCTGGAGACAGCGTACACCTTCCAGGGCTTCCCTTACATCTACTGCAAGTGGGCCGACGACTCCAAACCCACCAAAACCTGCCAGCGTGCCTTCTCTACCCCGACGGACCTCCGCAACCACGTATTCGCCGATCATATGAACCTCAAGCGCACTGAGACACCGGGCCACTACAACCTGGACAATGCCCAATCGGCTATCCACACTTGCCTTTGGGAAAACTGCACGAGATTCCGCGGCTCTAGCGCCAGCGCGAACACCGCTGCGGTCGCTGGCCATGTCGCCTCCCACCTCCCCGAAGAACGTCCCGCAGACGCAGAGGCTCCCGTTTCCAAGCGGGCGGTGCTCCAAGAGCGTATTGTGCGCAAATGGTTCTACCTCAACACCCCAGTCAGTGAGCGCGGCGAGCCCGTTGGGGTTGCGTACAAAGCCGCCTTGGTCCTTCGCAACATTGCCCGCAACCTTCCCAGCGGCGTCGTCCAGAAATACAATGGACTTCCCTGGAAGAAAGCTGTCTTCTTGAGTCACCGCCCGAAGATCGTGGAGGTTTGGGATCGAAACCGGTCGCTGCGCAAGGAGCTCACGGAATTGATCATGTTGATCGAGAAGGAGGATTACTATTGAAGCGCGGAAAAAAGAAGAAACAAAACAGAACAAACAAGAAGAGAAAAATGAACACATCTCTTTTTTCCTCTCTTGCCCCCTTTTGTCACGATGATGAAGTAACCTACATGTTTCGGCTCCGCCCGCGACGATTCGAGGATTGATATCTTTCTCTTCTCTTGTGCTACTATATGACAAGGTGCTATGTTATCACATCTATTCTTCTTTCCCCCTTCTTTCTTCATGCTATCAGTGTCTTTTCTCTGATCCCCTTATCTTTCCGTGGGTCTGTCCCGTCGCTTCTTCTCGCTATCTTGGTTTTTGTACAAATACCCTGGCTTCGTGTTCTTCATCACGGTTCTTCATTTTCAGTATCTCTTCATACCAAAACTTGGTGTGTCCTCCTTGAAGTGTATTCGATTCCTCTTTCTTCTCCTTTCCCATTCAGTACTGCTTCACCTCACTTATCTACTCACCCGAGAGTGAGAAAGATGGGCGTCTTCCCTCGACAAGTTCGACAACGGACTGGGAAAAATGGGTGTCATAGGGGGTCCATGGTACTATACTTCGAAATGACTATCTGGCGTCTCGGGGGGGGTGGCGGTCTTGATCTACTAGGTCGGCTTTTATGAGGGTAGTAAAAATTTTTTTCCATACTTTTTACCATTTCAATACGGAGAAACATGAACTTGGAGAACCTGGGCTTGTTTTATCTTTTTTGTTCTCTATCTTTCCCCCTCCCTCTTGCGATGAAGTATATCACACTATACACGGCTCAATTTTCTTCTCAGGATTTCACCTTTTCCTTGCTTTGATTTGTAGGTCATGGGTGGTGATTCTCTTGTCGCATTTTCAATTTTTTCCCCTTGACAAATTAGCTAGTGATTGATGTATACTACAGGTGGTCACGGATGGGGTGGGCGTGCTTCGTGGAGGAGTGAAATATTAGACGATAATCTGTTCTTTCGCATAATTTACTGTAAAGAATTGATACAGATGTATGTCCTTGGGATGTGATTTGTGGGACCAGTGGAAATGTGCAGGTAAGAAGGAATGGGGAATCGGTATTCTTGGTCTATCATCGCTTGTTCTGGAGTGGATATACAGTTTAGTAATGTTATGATATCACCGTAAACCTGGCAAAAAATATATGTCCGTGAGAAAGTTCTCGTAATTCATCCAGGCGGTCGTCTCGTTGGCGGAGTTTGCGTAACCCATATCAACGGCATCCCAGACACTGGGCCAGGAGGCGGCGTTCTCTAGGCTCTCGGGGGTGTCTAATGCAGCCATGGCATCGACTGGAGCGGGTGGACCCTGGTCTGGTGGTTGCTGTACGCTTTGAGAGGGTAGATTTGAGGTGAAGGCTGGTGGCGGCTGCTGCTGCGGTGCCTCCGAGTTGTACAGAGTAGCAGAAGAGATCTGCGGTTGGGATGGTTGGTGAGAAGAAGATGGTGATGAGGAAGACGGACATGTATAAAGGGTGGAGGTGGGAGCTGAAGCAGCGAGCAACTGAACTCTCCTGGCGCGCGCCTGAGCCATGATTCTTTCCATGGGTTTCCAGAGCATCCCACGCTTCGAATCAGCAACGAGCCGGCCCAGTCGGTTGAAGGTCTGCTCGACTGTAGGCCAGAATCTTTCCATGACCGCCCTGTCTTCGCAGACACAGAGCTCCGCGACGGCTACTGCCAAGCCGTGCCACGGCGGGAAAGCGAACTCGACCCAGAGCCAAGGTACGGTGCGAGGATCGTCCCGAAGAGA